CATCATTCTGAAGGGGCTGTATCAGAAATCACCTAATATGGAGAATGACTATAGATTGAATCACTAAATTGAAGAAAAGTTCCTTTGCAAACAATCATCGATTATGAAATTGTTATTCGTTATAAGTTTTCTCAATTTTTCCTCCCTGCTTAATTCTTTGGCTGGGATATAAACCCCTGGAAAAGTGACTCATGGTACACTGATTTAGAGGTCTAGCTAGGTTTTCCCTTTGAGGAAAAAAGTGTGTTTTTGGTGTTCATTGGGAGACTTTTTTTCTCTCTCTTTACCCATCTCCATCCTATGAGCTGCCACACTTTCACCCTCACAACACACTCATTTTCCTCATTTACTTGGGTGTCATTAAAATATATGCCTTGGCTGGTTTGGTTCAGTGAATAGAGCATTGACCTGCAGACTGAGGGATCCTGGGTTTGATTCCAGTCAAAGGCATGTGCCTGGGTTGTGGGCTCAATCCCCAGTGGGGGTTGTGTAGCAGGCAGCCAGTCAATGAGTCTCTCTCAGCATTGATGTTTCTATCTCCCTCTCCCTCTCCCTTCCTCTCTGAAATCAATACAAATATATTAAAATTTAAAAAAAATATATATATATATGGCTGCAAGTTATTTATTCAGTTATGCATGTTTATTAAACCAGAATAAAGTATTATCAATTACTAGAGACTTGGAAGATGGGTGAGGCTCCCTGAACAGCCTGACAGCAAAAAGAAAGACATAGGTTGCCATGTCCTGACTTGAGAAGCCCTGAGAGAGGTCTCCCTGGCGTCCTTACTGGCCATGGCTCAAAATCCCAACTTAGCAGCTCCTTTGATGCAGTCAGCAAGAGACCCTTGAATTCAGCTGGAATCCAACTCTACCCTTCCAATAATGTGACCTCACCCTAGTCACTTATCTCAGAGCCTCAGTGTCCTTTTCTGGGGGAAAAAATAAACAAACCTCAAGAATTTGGAGGATTATTATATGAGACATGGGATATCCTATCTAATAATAGACAAACAGGGTAATTGACTGTACCTTCGCTACGCCTCCCATTGGCTAATCAGCGTGATATGCAAATTAACTGCCAGCAAAGATGGCGGTTAATTTGCATACATAGGCTCCAAACGGCGGAGCAAAGACTAAAGGCGAGCTGGAGCAGCAAAGACGGAAGACGGAAGGTGGCTCCGGCTGGGGCCGCGAAGACGGAGGATGGAAGGCAGCTCCGGTCGGAGCCACGAAGATGGAAGACGGAAGGCGGCTCTGGCCAGAGCGAAGGCCTGGGTCCCGGGTGCCAGAGGAAAACCAGTGCCCGCATCCAAGAGAAGGGAAGGCCTATTGCACGAATCTCTTTATGCAACAGGCCTCTAGTATTAAATAATAAGAATAATTCAGAATATGATAGGTAACATTTTTAAATGACAACATTATTTAGGAGTTGTAATATATTAAACTGCTGTCTATTAGATGCTATAATAGCCCAAATCAGATTTCTGATTAACTTTACCAAAAGCAAGAACTTGAGAAAATTTACAAGGTAAATATATTTGAGGTTTCTTAGGATCACGCAGAATGCCAGTGATATTTAAAGGCACATGATTATCTGGAAAAAAATAAAGAAATGGAAAACCAGCTTGTCCACATGTTATCCAAGAATGAGGTTGAAAAAATGTTAAGTAACATGATTAACTGTTTCACAATTGTGTCAGTTTTTGCACTTCCCATTCTGCTATGAATAATAGAGTTGAATAGATTAAAAAAAATACAGTTCCAGAAGTCTCTGCCATGTTTCACATCTGAATGTGTCTCATTGTTATTTCATTGCTATTTCACATACGAGGAACATCATGTTTTGGATTCAACTTTCTTCCCTGCCTTCATTTTTTGTAAGTTCCCCAAATGAAAACTGGGGAAAACAAACAAACAAATACACATCAATTTAATTGTGTTTGGAGCAAGTAGTACTTTTCATATTATTTCATGTTTCCCTGTCTGAGCACATGGAGGTTCCACCACCCTGTACTAAACTATCTTTAGCTAATTCTGATCCTTCAAAATATAACTATCACTTTTCCATGAAATCTAATTACCCCAGCCCATATCCACCCCAGGTATGGGCACAACTGTGCTTCTTTTTATTACCAAATTCATCACACTGGTCCATTTATTGCTCAGTAACTAGCTTTTCATTTTCCACTTTGCGACACTTTCCTCAAGGGCAGAGATCATCATGCTCCTGCTTTCTCTGCACAGAGAACTGCTTGGCTGGCGCAGAGCAGAAACTCAGTAAACATGTGGCAAATGTCAGAGAGTGTAGTATACACAATTGCTCTGTAACAAATCATTTCGTGGAATCATTTATGACAAACTATGTCTTGTCCAAGGATAATGAATGAAAACCAGAAGAATTAAATCAGAATCTCAGCCTCCGTCCCCTCGGTGCAACGATAGAAGGAACTTCCAGATCTCACCTAGATTTTTCCCTGAAATGACAGCATGTCCCCATGAGGGAAGTTTAGATCACTTTTTACTTTACAAATAGAAGTTTAGATCACTTTTCTTGATCCTTGGTAAGTTGGTTGTTGATCAAAACCTATCCCTAAAATCCAATGCTGCTGCTCTCCCAGAGATCTTTGCCACAGAAAGTAGTAGATGATGGGGCTTTTTCCTTGACTCTATAAAACATGGAAAGAGTTATGATATATGCTGTAACCTTGGTATTGATAGAGGTATTGATGGACCCAGAGTTTAGGGAAAAGACATTTTGAAGAGTTACGAGCAAAACCTAGATGATGAAGTTAAGTCAACAGATAAGGGGTCCAAAGGGTATTAAACTAGTGAGCAAGTCAGAGGAGGACCTGAAATCTGAGTACAAGAGATGATCAGTGAAAACTTCTGGAGAAGAGAGTGTGGAGGCATTTCAACAAGATGGTCTAATCTTCCACTTTCAAGTGATGTGGCATCATTTTCCAACACTGCCTCCCAGTGTTCAGGAAACTAAGCTCAGCCCTGGTCAGTAGATCCCTAGAAAGGGAAGGCATAAAGGCAGTAGGGAAGGGCTGTATCGGTATGAAAAGGCTACACAATAGGAAATGAAACAGTGAGCGAAGATCAAGAATTCAAACAAAAACAGAGTGAGAGTTGAAGGTAATTAGAGCACTTCCCTTTCAATAATTCTTTATATTCTACTTCCCTTAGCAACTTCCCTGATTATACAAAATGAAGTAAAGATGTTTCCATTCAAGATTGTAAATCTACACACTTCTCATGTTATCCATACAGAATGGGAATTAGAGAATAAAAAATGAGTGAATTTAAGCTTCTGGTTACAGAGGATTTTAAACCTGTTTTCCTGACAACACTCCCATCCAACCCTTTCACACGTAGCTCTCAAGCTTGGAGATGCCATTTTGTAATACTTTCTCCCCAAAGGTCTTCTAAATCCATCTATTCAGCTGACTACGAGTGAGATTTACTGCACAGGAGTAGGTCTTGAGTGACAAAGTATTAGCAGAGTCACCAGTTATAGTTGATTTGCAGGAATCTGTGCTGCTGTGATAGAAGCCACTGCAGGGTAAAGTGGGGCCCAAATAAGTTGCCCATCCTACCTCCAGTCAACTTCACCTGAATTAACCCAGTCAGGATTCCCGGTTTGGAGAAGGCACCCAGGCATCTTGGCTTAGGTCCTGGCAGCCCTACAGCATTCTGAAGAGGCGGTTCATCTAGCACAGTGATGGCGAACCTATGACACGCATGTCAGAGGTGACACGCAAACTCATTTTTTGGTTGATTTTTCTTTGTTAAACGGCATTTAAATATACAAAATAAATATCAAAAATATAAGTCTTTGTTTTACTATGGTTTCAAATATCAAAAACTTTCTATATGTGACATGGCACCAGAGATAAGTTAGGGTTTTTCAAAATGCTGACATGCCGAGCTCAAAAGGTTCGCCATCACTGAGCTAGCAGAACCTGATGGAACCAAATGTTTGCTCCTCTCCTTGAAGAACTGAGGTTTTGATTCAACCTTAAATTTCATTTGAAACAGTCCCTGATGCTTAACAGTGAAGAAAAAGTACTTAAATTTTCACTGGATTGAAAGCAGCTTGACATGGCAATAGCTAATTATTATTGAGCAGCGTTTGATAAAACAAGTGAAATTTAAAGCTAAACCCGAAGAGTGCTTTAAATTCAGTCAAAACAAAAGTGGATTTGGAAGTGTTCTGTGCATTTTTTCATAATCAATACAGTGGAAAACAAACAGTTCATCTGAAGAACAAAGGAAAGTAGATATTATGGACATATTATGAACGAAAAACTAACCTGTATCTGGCAAAGGTAACTTGTTGTAAGACAATAAGAGAGACTCTGACCTCAGCTAGCCATACCTGAGTGCAAATTCTGCATCTGACCCTTTATTAGTGTGTGTGTGTGACCTTTGGGAAGCATTATTTAACTTCTCTGCAATCCACATTCCTCAACTGTCTGTGCAAAGTGAGAAAATTATAAAGAATTCATACGTTGTTGAGGGATTAAATAGTTGTTGAGGGATTAAATAGATGTTCAATAAATTATCAATTTCCTTTTCTTTATTTGTATTGGCAGTAATAGACTTAGCTGGTAACTAAGATAGTGGGGAAATGGGAGAATGAAAACACAGTCTATATAATTGCAATCCCTATCTTCTTTCACCCTCCCTCCAAAGATATTATAGAAACACTGACTAAATCACACAACTAAATATCACATTTCATTATTTTGATTAAAATAGAATGTTCAGAATATAAAGAGGAGATGATAGGACCATGTGCTTTATAGCACAAACCTCAGCAATACCCCTAAAAGAACTAGAACTGGCAATTTTCAAAGTTAAAAACTATCACAGTCATTAGGAAGCCCAAGTATATATTGAATTTCTCATCTATGTCCTTTTCTCTTGGGGAAAATGTTAGGCAAGAATTGATGTACTTCCCCCACACCTGCAGAAAGGTCATGATCCCATTACCATTCATCCTTGTCAGCATCACAGTTGCAAAAGTACCGAATGTCCAGGCAAATCTCATCCAGGCCACATTCACATTGCTGAACCCCGGGAGGAGCGCCTCCCCAGTAAGGGTGCCTTTCCTTTGATCGGCCCATCCACCAGGTAAAGGGAACTCCATCTGAAAGACAAAGTATTTCAAAACTCAGGTGAGCAAGCCAGAAATAACACATCAGGAGTCACAAACACAGATAAAAATGTCATGAAGAATATGCATATCCTTCCTCTCTTCTCTTCTCTTCTCTTCTCTTCTCTTCTCTTCTCTTCTCTTCTCTTCTCTTCTCTTCTCTTTTCTTTTCTTCTCTTCTCTTCCTCTTCCTCTTCCTCTTCCTCTTCCTCTCCTTCCTTCCTTCCATTTTCTTTCCTTCTCTCTCTTTTTCTTTCTTTTGCTTTTCTGCCTTTCTTTCTTTCTTTCTTTCCTTCTTTCTTTCTTTCTTTCTTTCTTTCTTTCTTTCTTTCTTTCTTTCTTTCTTTCTTTCTTTCTTTCTCTCTCTCTCTCTCTTTTTCTCTATTTCTCTATATCTCTCATCCTCAATATATGTAGGATAGATATCTATATCTATATGCATTTGTACATATAAGCAATACAGAAAACATCTGCAGACTGTTTAGATGTTTATAGTAGGAAGGGTGAGGTCACTAGTGGAGCTGAACCAGCTCCCAGGAGCAGCAGGCCTCAGGCTGAGAGAGAGGAGGGAGTGTTGGGCTATGGGAGGGTCTGTTCCCTCAGAAGATAGAGGCAGGGAACCCAGGCTGGGCTCTACAGCCCAGAGCACCGGAGCCCAGACCCATAGTCCATGTACCATCCAGCATGAAAAGTGGCAGGACTGCTGGTGGCAGTGGAATCTGGAAACGGCAGACCAGAGCAGGTCAGAGAAAAAGCCGCAGTTTGGTGTTTTTTTCTTTTTTCTTTCTAAACCCAGAGCACAGGAGTTTTCATTTGCAGCTACTCACCTGAGGTTTTGGTGCAGGGAGGAAGACACAGACCTGAGGTGCCTAAAAAGAGATTGGGGTGGGAAGCACTGCAGGGAGACATGGAAAGCAACAGCCAGAAGTCCTGCATTTGGTTATTTGTATGTGCCCAAATCAAAACAACCATTTTTCCTGAGAGAAGCTAACCATTCCCAATAGCCACAGGGCAGGAAAAGAAAAATCCCATTCTAGGTGATACCGTGGAAGAGCTCCAGGGTGTGTCCGCCCAACTTGCTCAGTCTCGATTGGCCCGATCCTAGCAGCAAGCTAACCTACAGGTTAGAGCATCTGCCCTGGTGGTCACTGCACATCATAGCGAGCAGTTGAGCGACCTTAGCATGTCATTAGCATATCATGCTTTGATTGGTTGAACGGCCGACTGGCTGACCGGACACTTAGCATATTAAGCTTTTATTATATAGGATAGTAAGGGAAGTACTAGAATCATCAATCAGACAAGAAAAATAAATATAAGCCATCTACATTGGAAAAGAACAAGTAAAACTGTCATTGTTCAGAGATGACATGATATTGTACATAGAAAACCCCAAAGACTCCACCAAAAAACTACTAGATTTAATTAATCTACTAGCAGGATACAAACTAACACCCAGAAATTGATGGCATTTTTACACACCAATAATAAACTCTCAGAAAGAAAAACTAAAAAAAAAAAATCCCATTTACCATTGCAACAAAAAAATTAAGAAATACTGTGTTCATGGATTGGTAGAATCAACATCCTTAAAATGGCCATACTACCCAATGCAACCTATAGCTTCAATGTAATCTTTATTAAAATACAAATGGCATATTTCCAGATCTAGTATAAACACTCCAAAAATTTATATGGAACCCAAAAAGGAACAGGATATCCACAGCAATCTTGAGAAAGAAGTACATAGTTGTAGGAATCACAATACAAGATGTTAAATTATACTAAGAACAGACATATAGATCAATGGAACAGAGCAGAGACCCCAGAAATCAACCCAAGCCACTACACCCAATTAATATTTGACAAAGAAGGCAATAGTGTACAATGGAGTAAAGACATTCTCTTCCATAAATGGTGTTGGGAAAATTGGACAGATACATGCAAAAAAAAGGAACTAGACCACCAACTTACACCATACACAAAAATAAATAAATTCAAATGGATAAAAGACCTAAATGTAAGTTGTGAAACCATAAAAATCCTAGAAGAAACCATAGGCAACAAAATCTCTTGTAGCAATATGTTTATGGATACATCTTCTAGGGCAAAGGAAACTAAGGAGAAAATAAACAAATTGAACTATATCAAAATAAATATCTATGGCACAACAAAATAAACCATCTAAAGAGTGAAAAGGGAGCCCACTGTGTGGGAGAACATATTTGCCAAAGATACATCCCATAAAGGGCTAATTTCCAAAATATATAGGGAACTCATATAACTTAAAAAAATGAAGACAAAAAATCCAATGAAAAAATGGGCAAAGGACCTAAATAGACACTTCTCCAAATTGGACACATAGAAGGCCAAGAGATATATGAAAAAATGCTCAAAGTCACTGATCATCAGAGAGATTCAAATTTAAACAATAATCAGGTATCACCTCACACCTGTCAGAATGGCTACCATCAACAAATTAACAAATGACAAGTGTTGGTGAGGATGGGAAGACAAGGTAACCCTAATAAGCTGCCGGTGGGAATTCAGGCTGGTGCATCCATTATAGAAAACAGTGTGGAGGTTCCTCAAATAATTAAACATGGAACTGCCATTTGACCCAGTGATTCCACTTCTAGGAATATATCCTAAGAAACGAGAAACACCAATCAGAAAGGATATATGCACCCCTATGTTCATAGAAGCACAATTTATAATAGCTAAGATTTGGAAACAGCCCAAGTGCCCATCAGTAGATTAGTGGATAAGAAAGCTGTGGTACATTTACACAATGGAGTACTATGCAGCTATAAAAAATAAGGATCTCTTACCATTTGCAACAGCGTGGGTTGACCTAGAGAGTATTATGTTAAGTGAAATAAGTCTGTCAGAGAAAGATAAGTATCGCATGATCTCACTCATATATAAAATCTAATGAACGAAATAAACTGATGAACAAAATAGATCCAGGGACATAAAACTGTGGTATAGACTGATGAATTTCAGGGGGAAGGTGGGATGGGGAAGTAGGGGAGAAATTAACCAAGGATCTTATATGCATACTAGAGACCTGGTGCACGAATTCATGCATGGGTGGGGTCCCTGGGTCTGGCCAGCGATGGGGACCAGCCAGCTGGTGGGAGGGACTAAGAGAGGTTGGCTGGCTGCAGGAGGTTGGCTATGGGAGTGCACTGACCATGAGGGGGCAGCTCCTGCATTGAGCATCTGCCCCCTGCTGGTCAGTGCATCTTCATATGACCAGTCGTTCGGTCCACCAGTCATAATACTAGCTTTGGCATATATATATATATATATATATATATATATATATATATATATATATATATATATATCCCATCCATGGACCCAGATAATAGTATGGGAAAAGCTTGGGAAAGGCAGGTGCAGGAAGGACGGGTCAATTGGAAAAACATACAAGTAACAACAAAAACAAACAAAGGAGACATCTGTAATACTTTCAACAGTAAAGATAAATTTAAAAAATGAAATATAAAAAAATTATGCTCCAAAAGAACAAAAGAAATATATTTTTGATTATCATCCTTGTCAACTCCTTTCTTTGCATAATTTGGTCTATCAAAATCTTTTGGTGTTTTTTTTATGATTTCAAATACTTCTGTAATTAAAATTATTATTCACAAAATGATGATGTATCAAATCCACAAGTTTAGGTAGAGGTGTAGGCACTTAGTAAATACAATTTTAGGCCAAATGGGGTTAGTTTGGTTCCCTTCAGAAATTGCTTATTTTGCTCCCATTGAGCATAAAACAGGCACTTAATATATGTTTATTTTTAAACATGAAAAGATATTAGGGTCAATTAATAATGATTTACCACTTTAAAGTAGAATAATGATATTGTCTGAGAATGCTACTTCATTGACATTTTGCCTATACAGGATTTAATTTTTGTGCAATTGCTGATTTACAAACATATATTGGTCAAGTTTTTTATGTATGCAAGTAGCAACAACTTTCTCTGCTATTCCCATGGAAATTACTGAGGCTAGTAGGAGGTGCAATGACAACCTGGGGCTTCCAAGAGTCAGTAAGGCATGAGAACAAGATAAGGAAGGTACTATGAAAAGCAGAAGTACCCAAGGGTGTGTAATCAGGGCAGATAGCCTGAAGGACTATACTCCTGACAAAATTTCACTTTTCTTTCAGCCTAAAATGTTTCAAGCCCTTCTATTTTCTTTAAAGCTAGAATTACAGTTAAATATGTCTGTTAACCAGTGTCTTTTTTAAAGTATTATTCTAAATGATGAATCTATGTTTCCTAGTTTCAAACAGCCATAAACCATGGAACACTTTCAAATGGATCCCTTTCTTTTTAAGTCTTAGCTCAGATAAGCCACCCTCAAGGGGCCTAGAGGGCTGATGGTTTATTTAGAGCATAAAGCTCTTTTAGGACTAAGTCAAGCTTAGGTAGCTCTTCTCAGCATGTTAATCCAGGGCAACACAAGGGCTAAAGCACTGTGTATATGAATATGTTTTCCCATGTTGGTTTTGGGTCCAAGAAATGGAAGGAATTTCTCCACCTCTCCCTCCTTCCAGCATTGCTCAGGACTCTCCCCCATAATCCAAAACCCAAATCACACAGTAACATTCAATGTCATCTTGGACTATTTTGAATAAATGCTAAACCAAGGTTGTAATCATATTAACATCATTACTAATGGCATGGATTCGCCAGATATGAGAGCAGGAGGGAGATTGCTAAATTTTCACCTCAGATGTCCTGTCTTTGTGTTTCCTTTCCTGTGGAGTACTAGATAGAGCACAACAAACACAGAAACTGAAGACTTAAAGTGGGACACGTGTGCCTTAATTCATGACTCAACAGATGTAGGCAGGAGGATAATCTATACCTAACAAATTTGGGTGCATTGTAGAAATCAAATTTATTTTCTCCTGACAATTACATATATACATAAATAATTTGATATACATATTATAAATATTCCTACAAC